TCATTGTACAGGGAAACACGTTTCCTAACTGTGCATATGACAAATAAACACTTTGACCTTTGACCTTTAGAGACTGAACTCTTAGGCAAAAGATCTTCAAAACCTGGGCAAAAAAGCTAAATCTTTGATAAGATTTATTATTATTACTTGTATACAATTCACAGTACTGTTATTCACATCCAGTCATTTGGCAGCTTTCCTGCTCATTTACTGCCTATTAACATACACATACATTTGAAGATGCATTTATACATTTACATTTGTTGATAGGAGGAACTTTACTGCCACTCAGTACAGTGTGAAAAAGTGTTATACATTAAAGCAGCCGTAATGCTGGCAAATACATCTGAATTACTAAATCCTGAAGGCAGAAAACCTACAAAAACAATTTTCTGACAAACAGGAAATTAAATGTCCTTTGCTCAGTTGGAGGAATTCTCCCCTTCATCCTGTTTTATTACTAACTTCTCTGCCATTGGACCTATGGACTATTCTCTGAATATGGACTATTCTCTGAATAGTCCATAGGTTAAGGTGACCCTGAGGAGCAAAACACAGTGACATTAGACAAGACATATTAACAAAAGGAAGGGTGTGATATTTCTGGAAATATTTACTTCCTTCCTATTTACTTTTGTGAGAGTTGGGTCAAAAGATTGTTGCCACTCTCACATCTGTACTGCAAAGATGAAGCTGTAGCCACTGGCCTGTTCGTTTGACATAGCTTACTGTCTGAAGGTAACAAAATCTGTCATATCTTTTTATTAATCTGGATGAAAACTAAACTGCTCTAGATGTAGTTATGTGCTGGACTTCACTGGTAGCAGTTACAAAATTCAGTGAAAATTTTAGTGAAAGCAGCTAATGTACCATATACCATATATTATAATCACCACCAAATCATCTTTCAAACATGAGACATTTATTTGTACTACTGTCTGTTTATTTAACTTGTCAAAGCCTGGCTGTTGCGGTTAAAGCTGCAATCTGTAAGGTAGCACTAGGCGCTCCCTCTCCCTGCTCCACTGTGTTCCACTATGATCTGCTGTGCTCCACCATGCTCTGCCCAACTCTTCAGATATTTGTCATTATGAAAATACAAGAAGTGAGAATAAAACAAAATATACTGATCAAGCATAAATAACTAAAAATCTCCTGACTGGTTAGAGGTCAGTTCTGCTCAAAACCATTAGGAAGCTAATATCTCTGCACTGCTGCCAGTGTTGTTCAGTGAGTCTGGGTCATGTCTCCACATTATGACACATTTTGTAGCATATTTCTACAACAAAAATATTTGTACCCGTGAATAAGACTTCTTTTACCGTGGCTACTCTGTAAGGGAGTAAGATAACCTTCAGTAGACGGGTCACTATTTGTAATGAAGATGTCATATTTTTCCACTGACTTCTAAATCACCCTCTGACAGCTGCTCTGGTAAGATTTCACATTAAGGATACATTTGTTTTAAGTTTCTTCGTAGCACGAGTGGGCGGTGGATTGAAAGTCACAGTGCACTGACATCACTGACATGAGAATATAATGTTCCAGTGAAAAACAAAATGAGCAGTCTTCTAATTTGTAGCAGATGAGGGAGCCTTGTTTTAGTGCTTTAAGATTTGGTGGGTCTCCTGAGGTGGAATGTGCTTTGGATATCATGATCAGTTCACTCATACCACAGGCCTATAGTAGGTGGGGGTTTACAGAAGTTTCACTCCTAGTCAGTAAATGACAGATAGGCTTAGTCGGAATTTCTGATGTCACATTTGGAGACAACATGTTAATTGGTCAACTGACTTAGCATTGGACAAAGCTGAAACATTTATGCTAAGTAAAGCAAACCTGGCTCCAGCTGCATATAGCAGGATGTCTAAGTTCATTCACAAAAGCAGAAAACAGAACAGCATTATGTAAAACACAACATACAAAACAATGTTAGGTTACAGAAAATCCTGAAAAACAGTGTTTACTGTAGTGTTTGATGCTTGCTTACAAAACCTCTCCTAAACATTTTAAAGTTTCAGCGTTTTCTGTAGCGTACAGTGTAAACATTTGTAAAATGCTGCCAAAAGTCAGCCGAGATGTTTCTTTGGCTGGACAAGTTACAATAGACACAAACTGGCTCCAGATATGAAAAGGAAAACAAGGAGCAGCTAGAAACATGCACATTCTGACAACTGTTTGTGAAAAGGTTGAGTGTAACATTTATGCATGTGTCACTAGCAATATTTCGAACAAAGACGCTTTCTTTGTTTGGCAGCTGCTTACCAGATGGAGAGTGTGTTTGGGTGTTACATGTGTTACATTGTGCAACTTGACAAAGGGCATTCATCCGGTTGGAAATTTGATTTATTTTTTGAGTGTACTGGAGAAGTACTGTAAGAAAACATTAACAAGAAAGAAAACCAAAAGGCATTTGACAAACCATAACAGTCAGCTTAATGAATAGACAAAGAAGAAAGCCCCTTGTTATTTTGCATATGATGGCAAGGTGGTTTATTTCTCTGTGACATTTCTCCAGGAAAAGGCTGTCTGAGGAGAAAAGCAAGCATCCTCCTGGTCTCCAATCCAAAACAAACAAGGATACATCCTCTCCACTGTTGTGAATACAGCTCACAGATGTGCAGTGCATAAAGTCAGGATCAAATAAAACTTGCTTAAAAAAAGAACTTTGGATCTTGCACAAGAATGTTACATAATGTCGGGAGTTACAACAGGGAGTGACCCACAGCTTTCCACAAACCAAGCAAAATAGTTAAGTATGAGTATGTCAGACTAACTTGCAGGGTTTTAGCTTTTAATTTAAAAGCTGAAAACTCCCACCAAGCATTGAAATGTCCCTGTAACTGAACTGCAGCCCTCTAATAAACTCACACAAACAGAAAACAGATTGCTAAATGTCGTTGTGTTGTCTTAAATAGGTGTAGCCTCTCATTTCATACCATACATGTGTTTATTTATCATGTTTTCTCATCATATTGATTGAAAACATATTACTAAAAATAAACAAAACAAACAAAAACAGAATTGGCAGCCCTGCATTTTCTCCAAAATACAGTACATGTGCAGTTACAAATTAGAGATGTGAAGACATTTCCAGGAGAGAAGGTTAGCAGAATGGACATTATAAACACACTGCAACAGTACAGCTGACTTTTATTGTAGCAGATGATATGCATTATCAGTTACGTGTATACAGTGATTAATTTTACATAGCCCCTTTTCATGAAGACATTTTGACATGTCACATTTAGAAAATCCCAGGTGTAAACAATAACATGAAGGATAGTTGAATTATACCTGCTTCAGTGTGAGGATCCTGGTGTCGTTCATGCTGGGTCACTGTCACACTGTCCTGACTTACTGGGATATTTGAATAGAGCAGAGTTAAATTTGATGTTATCAGTAGCACGTGTGCTTTTCTCTTGCATTTAGCACATTTAATTGAACTAGCAGTCACCTGCATTATATTCAGCAAGGAGAAGACAGAAATATTCAGTGATTTCTTAAGATTGGATAATAGGTTTTTTAAAACACTTAGCTGCCTCCTATTCCACCAGCGCTTCCTTTAGAATTATACAGAGCATCAAAACATATAACTAGTAATGCCAAAATTTCAAAGAAATGCCAAGATAGCCATTGCATGTAAGCTTGTTTGCATTAGTCTAAAACACATCACATTTATCCATTAAAGCCTATAAGGATGAGTTAAAATTGTCTATTTATTTCCTATCACATACACATTAAGATACTGAGGTACAAAATGAATAACTTTCAGGGGAAATAAGCAAAACTCCATTAACAGCTCCCTCTAGGAAGCCATGTGCTGGTTACATACATGTAACATGAATACAGTCATGTATTGTTTGATGCTTTTACACAAGTATGGCAGTTGTTAAACACCACCTGGTTTTACTTTTGAGACACATTTATGACTATAGGCCTATCCTGCCATTGAAAGTCAGCAGTCTGACAATGGAGAAGATCCCCCAACTGAAGAATAAGTAATAAGAAAATGCTAGTCCTGGGTCTGTCTGAGGTTTCCTCTGTTAAAAGGACTTTTTCCTTTCCACTGTTGCCCAGTGCTTGCTCAAGGCTTTTCTCTGTAATCCTGTAAGGTCTAGACCTTACTATATAAGTACCCTGAGATGATCTTTGTTGTGATTTGGCACTGTACAAGTAAAATTGAATTGAATTGGACTACGATTTGTTTCTAGCTAGACATACATAGCTGTAAAAGCCCATCCAATGAACCAGCTCAGAGTATTGACATGAGACTTACAGGGCCACTGACATCAAGGGAACACAACATGAGTTGTCACTGGCCCTAGATCATAAGGGGAGTAATTTGTCAAAATTCTGTAAAAAATCTATAGATGTGGACACTTTATATATTATTTAGCTTAAAAAATTTTGTTTGACATAATGATTGAAAACAATTTTACTATCCTCCCTATAATACAAAAAAAGTTTGTCACTTGTGATATCTCAGCCTCTGTTCCCATTTTGACGCGGTGTTGCATTTGTGATCACATTTAAATTAAAAACAGATTGTTACAGTGATTGCCCTCATGAGGGTGCTAAAAGGTCAAACTTACAAAGTTTACAGAATTATTATGAAATAATGAAAGTATAAGAGAAGGGTTTGCGTCATTCAATGAGGACAAGGTTTCTGTGACTTTAATGCAAGTACACAATCTAATGTGAGATGGTTAACACATTACTGACATGTCTTTGGGGATTAGTGCTGCATTTCTGTTCTGTCAGTGTAAATGCAGAACAGTCTCAGTTTACATGGAAGATATTGCTACATCTGTGATAGCCCCAGTTTGTGCCCTATTTGACCTATTAATACTTAAAAACAGTGGTAAGTGTTGTTAAAGGACTTCCTAGGTTTATTTATCATTCAAAGAAACAGAAGCTTTGCGATTCAAATGCTGTGATAATACATGAGAAGCAAAAACTTAAATGATGCTTATGAAAACTTTGTGTAGACAGAGGTGTCAAATGTGGGAATTATACAGGTAGGTGCTGTTGATGCTCCAGTCAGGAGGGAAGTCCTGCACCGCGTGGCTCTTGATGTGTCTCTGCATGACGACCAGGCTGCTGCAGAACTCCAGGCAGACTGTACACTGGTAGGGTGCAGCCCCGCCGTGTGTTTGATCATGGCTGAATAGTCTCGTGAGCAGTGACCACAGCGACGGCACTCAAAGGGTTTCTCTCCTTGTACCAGAGAAAAGAGAGGAAGTCAGCAGAGGGAGGGAGAGAGGTGTGATCATTTGAGAGATTCATACATTTACATAAGTGTTAAAAGTGTATTCATTGTCAGTATTCCACCAGTTGTTAATTTGACCTTATATATTCTGTTATATTACTTGACTGCAATCTACACTATTGAGGTTATCAAATTGACTTTATTTTTTCCCACTGAGAAATTAATTTTATCTATTCATTCAGTTTGCAAAAAAAATCCTTTACAAGATTATTAGCCATCAGCTGGGTAGGTAGATTTATAAAAACAAGCAAACAAACAATAACAAAAACTATACACATACACCAATCAGGCATAACATTATGACCACCTGCCTATTACTGTTCACATTGGAGTCAATGTGGTCGTTGGTTGGCACTCGTGTCACTCTGCAGCTCACTGTGCATCTTGTGTGAATCCATTTGCTTCTATAGTTCTACTGTCAGGAAGAGCATAGATGTGTCTACAATTCAGTGAAAAACTTATTCAAATCAATTTTAATCTTTTGAAAAGTACAAATGGAAGTTAAAAGTTTAATCTACAGTAGATGAACCTCATCATCAGCGCACCATGGGTGTCCATGACCCTGTCACCAGTTCACCATCTGTCCTTCCTTAGACACTGTTGGTAGGTACTGACCACTGCAGACCAACAACACCCACCAAGACCTGCAGTGTGGGAGATGCTCTGACCCAGTCATTTCTTCATCACAGTTTGACCTTTGTCACTCAGATCCTTATGCTTGTCTGTTTTTTTGGCTTCCAACACATCAGGACTAAATGTCCACGTGCTGCCTAATATACCCCACACACTGACAGGTGCCACTGTAACAGATAGTCAGTGTTATTCACTTCACCTGCCAGTGGTCATAATGTTAAACCTAATTGGTGTAGTTTACAATTACTTCTGTGATGGTTTCAGAAAAACTGAAAAATTCCAAGGAAACTCACAGTGACCACCCTTTTGTTTGTGCATTGTCGTTCGCTTACCTGTGTGAATTCGGTGGTGTGTGTCCAGTTGATGTTTCAGACTGAACTTCTTGGAGCACTTCTGGCACTGATAGGGTTTTTCTCCTCTGTGGTCTTGCTGATGGGCTTGTGGTCCATGTTGCACCACCTCTCCTCTTCCACAGAAGTGACACTCCGCACAGGCCTCACCTGTGCAAGCAACACAATGGGGGAAAAGCGGTAGAGGTGTGAACATTGCTTTGTGGCTTGGCAGTTCAGAAAAAAACTGCCAGGTTGTTCTTATAGACATCTACACTAAAGAACAATCAGTTCTGCAGTACATCACAAATGACCAGTTACTTGCAGTAAAGTGAACGGAATTAACTGGTAGTAAATCAGTCACTATATAGCAGATATTAATTTGATATTTAAGTCCATTGTTCCACCTTCTCCATCCAGTATGATGTGTTTCAGCTTTATATCATTATACAGGGAGTATCACTGGGTTTTGGATATTTAACGACATCACCTCGGGCTCTGTGAAACTGTGGTGAGACCAAACCATCCATTTACTGACAAAGTAATCAGCAGTCTGATCAATAATGTAAATGACCATTTGCTGCTGCCACAAGTCATTTGTAAAGGCGTTGTTTTTCAATCCCGCTGAAGTCGACAGTGGCGGTCACATCTGGGCTTGTAATGCTCACTCAGCTCCTTGACTCAACCAGTTTTTAAAATGAAAACTTTGTAATATACAACAATTCAATCACCCTTTAGATGCATAAGTCTATTTTAGTCAGCATCCTGTTTCAAGACAATACATTCAGTTTGAATAAACCTACTTTCCTGTTACTCTGCACAAGTCTTGTCTGCAGCCATGTATGTTAGTGATTTTTTTAAACTACAAAGGTGTGAAGTTGAGGTTAAAGTAGCAACTCTGAGGCCTTTCAGTACCTTCTTTTTTTTGGGTTTCTCAAGTAAAAACCTGGGCCTCATAGCATAGACAGGATGCTGAAATAAGAAGGGGGTGTACTGTAGTAGGGGAAATTGAGAGAATAAACCACAACAATTGAAACACTCACCACTCTAAACACAACTTACTGGGACCTGTCACCATTTGTGCATTTCCTGTCCAATATTTCTCTTGAGTTCTCACTTTAAGACCTAGCATTTTATACAGATAAAAGCAAAAAATGACAATCACCTAACAATACTGCAAAATACTTCATTTATACGCTACACTTTTTGTTTAGGTGTTGTTTCATATTTTATGTAATTACGTAATAGAAAGGAATGTTTGAGTTGATTACATTGGTTACTGCTGTGCAGTAACACCACAGTTTTAGCTAGCATGTTTTAGTTTAATCTCTTCAAGTTTCAATATAATGTTCCATTGAGCAGAGACAGATAAAACATGTTTATCAGCTTGATTGTATATGATTCTTGATGCTGTACCGCTATACACACACACACACACACACACACACACACACAGACTGTTGGTTAAGCTTATTTTTTTTGTTATTGAATTATAGTCATATTATAAGAATTTATTGTAACAAATCCATATTTATGATTTTTTTTTTGGTATAGGACAAACCACTGTTGCAATGCAGTATATACTGTACTGCATGTATATAGCTGTATCTAGTAACCACAGCACTGCTCCTGTTGCACCCTGCTCTCATAACCACAACTTTCTTTATCACTTTCCATTACGTAGCTATGTATCTTCAGTGTGCAGAGGTTAGGGGTCATGACAAGAAATGTCTTATTATCTTGTTAAATTGATAAACTTTATACAAGATAACCACTGCTACAGCCTTGATCTTAGCGTAGAGCAATAACTGTATTTTCAATGTGATAACTAAAAAACTTTAAGTTTTCTGTTTGTCATTACCTGATGGTGTGGAGGATGACTCCCGCTGCACCGGACTACCAAGGAGATTCCTATTGCACTTTTGGCAGGCTGTAATTCTCTCTGTGCTGGCATTGGGCACCTCAGCAAAACTGGGAAAAATAAATTATTTTCTGAGGGAACAATAGTGAAAAACTGCGCTAAACGTTACAACAGAAAAGAATTCATCTTATTTGTGTGCCAAAGAAGTGCTTCACTGGATAACTATAAAGCACAGAAACGTCTTTAAGTATCATATGAAAAATACACCAGTCTATGCATATTTTACGCCTTTGTGTTATCACAGCATAGATGGTTAAACACCCTTTCCTTCCTCTCCATTCCCAACCACAAGATAAGCTGTCTTTCACTGTAAAAAACATATTTGTCTTTCATATAAAAGGAGGAACAGTATAATGTAGCAACACTGTGATAATTTTTTTCCACAAAGGCACAAAAGGGCATAAATCTTGTGGGACAGATATAGCTAGTTTAAATCAGGTTTCACTGGGTGGAAAATCTCAAATTCTGCACTGAAGGGGAGAAATTCAGGGGGCTCCCCTTTATATTATATTTGGTTACACTGTGTGGAACACTGTCCAATATTCATAGACTTAAAAGAAGAAGGAAAATCACCTTTAAACAAAGTCATCTGGGTTTACTGACACTACTTCTACTACCATAAAGGATTATTTCAGTAATTGATGAACGCATGACTTGTTTTAATCCAACTGAAAAAACAGCTAAAACTTAGATCTACTGGAAAAATTGTTTTGCACATTTTTTGCTTTCTTGTGCCCTGATTGGTCTGAAAATTATTATTATGATTTATCCAAAGAGAATTTGATTTACTAGGACTGGCAGGGAAGGGTTAACAGATGAAACTACTCTAGCTGAATTGTGCAGGAGGCTTGTGCGCACACATCTAACCAGACAGAAGTGAGTCAGGTAGTGCAAATGTCGCAAAGGAACAACTGAGCAAATTAGGGGACTCTAAATGACTCTGTGAGAGGAAAAACAGGGAGACAATGACTAAAAATACAAAACAGAAGTTTCCAAAATCATGTCCAAGTGCTGGCTTACCTCGGATCACCACTTTGAACAGTCCTGCTAAACGCTCTCTGACTGGGTTTTCTTCTTTTTACCAGGCTTTGCTTAATTATCCCTGTAGATCTGGCGTAAAGATTTTGTTTGTAGTATGGATAAAACCCTGAGCTGCCCAATGCAGAGCTGTGACCTGGGTTTTGAAAATGGGGGGCCAGTATGGGGAGCATGTGGGGAGTGGAGAGGCTGAATGGGTATGCTACAGAGGACTGATGTGGAGGCTGAAAAGAGTGTGCTGCAATTAGGTTTGGATAGTTTTCAGCTATCTGCTTCAGGGTGCTCACAGAGTTCCACATGTTTGCAGAGAATGGCCAGGGAGAAGAGAAGGAGGAGCTGCTGGTGGCAGGCCTCGTGATAACGCTGTCTCTGTTGTAAGGTGCTACTGGTATAGGGGACAGTCTGCGCTTCTTTCTTGGGGATGGCTGACTGTTGTGATTCTTTGGAGGATCAGGCGATGACAAACCCGTGACAATGCTTTTGCTTGCTTTCTCCATTGGCAGGGAAGTCACTTGGACTGTCTCCTCTTGAACCTGATTTCCTTTTGTCTTTTTATCTACCTCCTCTACACTTTCTTCTTCTTTTTTGACATCTGTTCTTTCTCCTCTTTTGTCCTCTTTCCCCGCTCTGTGGTTGAGGGTGTCCAACTGCTTCCGGCACTGGTCCTCCAGTGGCTGCATCTCCAGCAGCTGAGCAGCTCCAAGCAGCAGCTGCAGGTCATCCACACACACCTCAAGAGTCTGAGTGTAGGTGAATTCCAGGACCTGCTGGAAGGTGCGGGGTGAGAAATACTCCAAAGTGCAGTGAACTGGACTGTCTGTGTCTCCCTGGGCTAGATGCTGCGCTAGCCTTCTACTAGCACAGGCCAATACCAGCCGATGAGCCTTGAAAGTCTGACTCTTTACTGAGATGATGGCATCACAAAGTGACCCTGAGCGACGCAAGGCATCTGCTTGCTGCAGGAAGTGGAAGTATTGGGTGTTGTTGATTCTGATCATTTTGGTAGTATGTAAAAGTAATATCAAGTCTGCAAAGAGAAGGTTAAAGGAACAAGAAGATCAAAACAAGATCTCATCAGTGTGATAGCATTTGTTCCATCTGTTGCCAGCTTGTTAGAGGGTATGTGACATTTCTAGAAATGCAAAATTTCAAGTAGGAAAATCACTTTGCAAATCAGCAGCAGAAATTGGCTTGTGATTAACGGATAAAATGTTTCTGTGTGGTTTGCACTGTGTTTTTTCCAGTCCTTTCCATACAGCATTACCTGTAGTGAGAGTTGAGGGGGCTGATGTAAAAGTGAATTCGATTTTCAGATAGTTTGCAAAACACTACAGGTTTTAAAGCAAAAAGCCCAGCACATATTTATATCTTCTCAAACAGTAGAATACAATACATTCTCATTTTACTGGGCTTTCAAAAACTTTCTTTAGTCACAGCATTACCTGATCATGTCTGAATCTCTGGGCCAGGGGTTGAAATGCACTCTGTTTTCTAAAAGCTTTGATATTCTGCACTCATATACACACTCTAAAGCCACAAAGCCCTAACAGTATATGAAACCATGACTAATGACTGTACACACAAGTAAACATGAGTAAAGTTTGAAGATCAACAACAGAAAGATGGTATCAGGGCACCATAAACATGAAATGCAAGAGTCTGCAGGGATGCAATATGTAAATATGCAGTTTATGGTTCTGAATTATTTGGAATTATACAATATAAAACTCAGATTACATGGATGAAAATGCTATAACTGTAAGTCAAAACTGCCGGATGCCTGAAGGGTTCTCATCTTCACACAGTCTGAAGCCTGCATTGAACTTTTCTGATTATACAGTGTGTGGTTGGTTTCTTCACAAGAGCTCTGAGCTATAACAGAGTTTTTGGTTCTTGCACATTTGCAGCTCCAATTCAGTCATCTGATGGTGACTGTAAATGGAAAGTAGAGGTACATAAAATAATAATGGCTGTTTCTAGTTACAGGAATTTATTTCAAATGTGCATGCATGTTTGTGTCATTGCAAAATATCTCTTTCTTGCTGTGTTTGTTGTTAATCAAATTAATTGTCTAAAGATATGGCAAAATAGCAAAGAGCAATGATTAATCATTTTAAAATTATTTATAAATTATAAATATAAATATATTATTATTACATCCATCTGTTAACTATACCGCTTATTCCTGTATAAGGTCACGGGGGGTTGGAGACAATCCCAGCTGACATTGTGCAAGAGGTATTATTATTATTATTATTATTCATATTAAAAATTTAGATAAGTTCAAAGTAATTTAAGCTTTTTGTACCATATTTGTCACTAAAGTTAATTTTTTATTTGGTTATGTACTGTATGATATACAGCACGCAGTGTTGACAGTGAAAGTGACAGTAAAGCAGCTTGCGTGTAAGTAAAAAGTCAGGTTTCACTTTAGCATTTACTTATTAACATTTAAAAAATTAAGTCCACATGCAAAATCTGTTCTTGAATGCACAGTGTTGAGTGCATGAAGCGAAATCCTTGTGCAAAACAAGCAAGCATCAGTGCGGTGAAGTCTACCGTCCGCGTACCTGTACATGAACATACAGCAGTACTGCAAACCTGCCTTTTCCACACCAATATTTATGGCATTCAAAATTGTGTGCTGCCTGATCAAGATTGTTTTATAATTCTGTTATGTATATAATGTTATTTGTGCATTATATAAATTACTGTAGCCCAGTGTCACAAATTTATCAAGTGATAAAAAATTGAAATGCGTTATGTCCAATTATAGTGACAAATGAAGTTTCGCATTTGTACAGTGGTCATTGTAGTTGACATAAATTTACTTTCACACACAAAATAATGATAATAATAATATTAGTAGTAGTAATAATAATAATAATAATAATAATAATAATAATAATAATGAGCGGCACTGCGATGATAGTAAATTAGCAGGTGGGTTCATGTGGTCTTCTACAGTGGTAGAGCGGTTACCAATGTAATTTTATGTTCAAGGAGATTTTGCAGAGTGTTTGAAAGTGCCCTGTGTTCTTGTGAATATACAAACCTTTGATCCTCACAGGGATGTTCTCTTTCAGAGATGGTTCAGGAGGCGAGTGGCCTGCTAATCTAAAAGCTTCAGTTTCAGCTGATAGATTGTACTTTCAAATATTACGACTGCCTTCCTATCTGCATTGATATGACACACCTATCATGTACACTAATTGCCAATTATGCCTTTAGGTAATGCATGTAGTGATGCTGTCCTCAGGCTGCTGGCATTTACGTCAATTCTTTTGTTCTGTTATGCTTCAAGTCCTTCCAAAACTTGTAAACAGCTTATACATTTTTAGAATATATTGGAGTTTGTAATAACCTGCCTTGTGCAATAATCAAATCCCCCCGATGCTGCTTAAATCTACAATGTACTCTCTCAGAGTTGTGACATAGTTAGAAAGTCTTTGAGCTCCTTGCAGTCACAGTACTACAATGCTTACACAGGGGAAAACCATGCATGCATATGTCAGATTTACTGTACACATCCTTTGACAGGATATAAACTTACAGTCAGCCTCCCTACAGCTCATATGTAAAAGACTGGAGTCACAAAAGAGAGGCCCAATCTAAAAGCTTCCACAAGCAATAGAAGATCAACAGCGGTACACAAAGTTATGTTTACAGTAGATCAGAAAACAGCTAACGAGATCAAAGATGAGCAATGGTTAACTGTATCTAATTGTCCTTTTCCATCTCTGAAAATTAAGAAGCAGCAAGCTGTGCTGAACAGTCACTTACCCACCGTTTAGTGAATATTCTCCCTGGAGAATGACAAGCTACCTTGCATCATGACTGTGAAGTGACTTGTAAAATGTCATCTCTGTCTGTGTACATGTTTTACTGTAGGACGAGGTGGTTTCCTTTTTGCTTTACAGTCCCTCCTCTTCAGCTTATCTTTGACCTCAGCTCATTGGCTCATTGATAATGATGCCAAATGGCCTGCTTTTTGCTAATAATGATGGTGACTTTCTCCTGAGTAAACCACTTCTTTGTTATATTTTGTTGTGTTTATTTTTCTAAAATCATGGATGACATTTAACTATTTAATGTTCTCCACTTTATGTCTTGTATAAATAACACAGTATATTGATATTGCATATAAAACAGAAACTAAGCTGAAATATCAAAAAGTGTATTTTCTTAAACTAAAAACAAGTTTAATCAAATGAGTAAACTATGCATGCATGGGTGTGTGTGTGTGTGTGTGCATGTGTGAGGTTAAGAAAGAGGGAGACAAATGGGGACAGCATTTAGAAGTATATTTATGTGCCTGAACAGATGATATATATATATATATGTACATGCTGTACATAATTTCCTCTCCTCCTGCATTACTTGCTGGTCACTACATTAATAGTCTGTTCAGTGCTCAAACAAAAACCACTTCAAAGACTCTGATCTGTGACAGGAAACATACAGACAAAAACCTGGTGGTACCGATACGCAGGGTTAGGCTTCACTGAAACCTGCAGCCTTTAAATATAAATATCTGCTTTGGCCTTTCAATATACGTATGTCAGATGTTGATATGGAAACCTGTCAAAATAGGCCAACTGTAAAGAGTTGGTAGGTTTAGCAATGGTTGCGTACATTATGACTCCTTAGTAACACTTTTTTTCATCTATCTATTTTCACATTTTCACTCCAGCGTTCCTCCCAATTTGGGTTGCCCAATAACCACCATTGCAGCTTTCTTCTACTGGACAAGAGTGACATACAACACACAGGAGAGAACGGAACTGTGATCTCTGAGGAAGTAGGACACTGGTGGATCAACTGAGCTTAATAAAAAACATAGTGGCTTGCATAATTGTGATTTGAATGTAACTTATTTTGCTCATTAAGAAAAAGCTTTCAAAGAAAATTTAAAATCATTAATAATATTATTAATTATTATAATATAAGTTATAATAGAATATGCTACAACAAGACAATACAACTGTCTGGTGAAGAAAGTCAAACACCTGGTTGGTGCAGACCAAAAACATAGCTAAAGAGAGACTAAAGGGTGAACTTACATTCATCAGGTGTCCAGAAACATGACCACAAGTGAGCGTTAATGTTACCTGCAGGATGTGAAAACAGGTAAATGGCGACTAGAGTTTTTTTTCACGCTTTTCAAGTTCCTCTGTCCTAGTGGCCATAAGGTGGCCCTACTATGAATATTTTGTGAAAAGGGTCGCCTAAACAACCAAGAAATTTTGAAACAAAAGAAAACTCCAACAAAAAATAAGCATGACAAGACACAAGGAGGGATCCGTTCAGCACAGTTAGGCAGGCTGTAAGAAAAAAAAAGTGTTTACAAAGTGAAACAAAAAGTAAATACCAAACACAGTTACCCAAAAGTGCTGTCTGCAGTTTCCCTTTCAACAGCTGATGTAGACAGCAGCAGGTGAATTGCAACAGAACTGCAGATGGAAGCATTTTTGATGTGATGAAATCTGATTAATAGGAGACAATGTAAGCCCATATGGCAAAAGTATCACAATGTCAGTCTTTGTTCCATCTCCACCTTTTGTTTTCTCTGTACTATTAGACTGGGCCCCATTGTTTATTCAACGTTCCATCCCTTGCCACCAGCTCCAGGCCACTCTGCTCACACTTATCTTCCTTCCATCAGTTTATCATCACTCTGCATGAACATGAGCTCTCACTTTCAGATCAGATTATCATCACTGAAGTCATCTGTTGTGACTTTCCAGTGTTTCTTCTCACTGCTTATTTTGGTTTTGACCTGCTTTATAAACTCTGACCCTGCCTGTCCCCTGTTTGCACTACTGGATTCACCTTTGTTTTGATTAAACCAGCCTCAGTATGTATCTTATGTTCTGGTTTTAAGCATGAAGTCCTTTTTTAAAAATGTATTTATTTATTTATTTATTAACCACAGTTCCCCTGTCTTTAGTCTGCATCTGGGTCCTCTATTTAGCAAGCCTGCCTGATAAAAATGCATAAATGCTATTTATTAACAGTGGGTGCAAAACAAAGCTATGTGATGCCTAAACATCTTGGTACAATTATTTATTCAGATAAAAAAAAAACAACTTAAATTTGTCAGAAATATAAGGAGAGATTTCAGTAAACCTGATGCATACACAAATGGCATTTCATTGCCTTGTACTTGTACATGGGTAATGACAATAAAGTTGAATCAAATCTAATCTAATGTTTGAATATGCCAAACTGTCATAATGCCTTAACTGAATACATGATCTATTGTGTCAGTTTGGTGTTAGAAACAATAGTTGCCAACAAATGAACTATCCTCTTTTTCACTGTTTCTTCTGGGTGTCCACATGGTGCTTTTTATTACTGTATGCCAAGTGTGCGGTTATTGTATGTTGTTATTAGACCTAACAAATAAACTACACAACCCACAGTCCAAAGACATGCATCTCAGGTTGATTGGTGCCTCTAAATTGCCCATAGGAGTGAGTGTGAGTGTGTGTGGTTGTCTGTTTCTAAATGTCAGCCCTGTGATAGACTGGTGACTCCGTCTCTCGCCCAGTGTCAGGTGCGATTGGCTCCAGCCACCCTGTGACCCTCATTAGGATAAGCAGTATAGATAATAGATGGATGGATGGATGGACAGTAGTCTATAATTCTAAGGTCATAATGAATAAAAGCAGTACTTCTGTTATTTATGAATAATCCCACCATCCATCCTTTATTTATACTGCTGATCCTGAGGAGGTTTGTGGAGGGGCTGGAGCCAAACCCAGCTGACACTGGGTGAGAGGATAGACTACTGTCATGTTTGAAATATAGGAAGAATATAGAATATAGACAATGTTACATAGAAAGTAACATTTTATTAGTTGTTTATTACATGTTTCATGTTTCATTTATGGTTTGTTCTGGAACTTTCCTGTGTGTTATACAGGGTGGGCCACGAAAAAGTAGCCCGCCTCTGGCATTCCAAACTTGAATAAATGAGGACAATTCAATTACAGTAGGCAGACTAATTTTCTGTGGCCCACGTGGTACATCACACAGTTGAACATATAAAACATTTCTTGCATATGTCCAAGCTGCATCTTTTCACTCATACACAGGCATACATAAAACAAACAATTCCTTAAATTTTGCTTCAGCCGAACCATGATATGATCACTTAACATAAGCAACTGTTGTTGTGAAATCCACCTACATTTCCTTTTCTAACAGAAAACATAGTTCCAAATATGTAGCACTTAAGTGTCCTTTGCACATTGCGCCTATATTGTCATGAGACATGTGTGTAGTGTTAACCACAAGGTGGTTTCCTTGTAATTGCTATGCTCACAGGTTTGACATATTGTTGCATTAGGAGAGATGCCACATTCACATTTCTTTTCTTTTTTCTTTCTATTTTGCAGATTTCCTACTAAGCTATTTTAAATGGACGTGTTATTTCTAAACTTTACTAATGCAACTGGCCATTCTTAAATCTCTCTCTCTGTGCTTGTGTGTGTGTGTATTTGTGTGTACAGTATGTGCATAGGTCAAAGTGACATGCTGGCTTTTACTATTGTGAATACCTGTCTGTGCAAGCAGTTACTGTCAAGTATTGCTCAACCACTGGACAGTCTGATCTCATCTATTCCTCTCAGAGAAATTAACATTATACCAGCACTTAAATGTCATCTTGCGCTATACGGTAAGGTGTCAGCCTGAGCTGATGCGCAGGGCTTCACCTACCAGTAATATCAAGACTGTCAGTCCCCCCACACTACACTCCTCAGAACCTGCTATCCCTTCACTGTCGGTGGAACAACATTACACACCCTCCCCAGCATCAGTGCTGATTCACTGAGGTGTCTAACCATGTGGGGTAGTTGAGGTCATCTTTGCACAAAAATGTGTCCTTCAGCAACCCCTTACCTCGCATGATGTTACTGGTGTGAATCTTTGAATTTGTTACGTATAAGGTTCATATGATAACATCTTTGATCTGCCTCCCATGGTTTTTCATTTCTGCATGCCAAAGGGTTTCATATTGTTATTTTGCTGAATGAATCAAAGTGTTACTGAACTAAACAAAAAGCACACTCAGACTGCGATGTGATAAAAGTCTGGGTTAATGTGACTCGTCTTACATTACCACAGCGGCGGTACGTGAGCAATCAACTTCAGAGGAACCACTACCAAGATGACTAAGGTGTGCTGGAGACATCAGTGGTAAACTGTCACTGTACAGCCACAGAACCTTTTCACAGTAATTGGAGTAAGCAGGACTACCCGTCAGTGTTGTGGTTTGGAAGAAGTGAACTTGTGCAGTGCTAGGGGCCTGGGCTTAACACTTCTTTGTAATTTGTGGGTGAAAGAAGTATGGGGTGTAGTGACTGTCGGGTGAACTGATGCTTGAGAACTGTGTAAAGGCAACTTACTGTATCAGTTTTCTTTTACAAATAGTCTGATATTTATTAGTGCTTGTTACAGCATCAAAATTCAGGAGTATGATTTGGCTAAAATAAAAATTTTCTTAGACACCAAAGTAATTTAGCACACACATCATGACTACGATACATCATTACTTATCGAACTATATTAAGTCATTAGTTACTAGGTGTTACAGTGAATTAGAGATTCTCAGATGATTAGAAATACTATATATTTCTGGTGTAAGTTGATTGCTCTCTACTATGATTGTTGTTAGTGTACTGATGTAAATGAAATGTTTTGGATTTGGCACCTTATATACAAACTTAATATGCCCCTTAAAAATGAAGGAACAGATGTCTTCTTTAGGTTTCTTTTTACTAAGAAATCCAATCAAGGGTATGCAAAAAAGAAGAAAAAAAAACCAACAAATTTTCCAGTGTGAGTAAGCCATAAGGTTTCCCTCTCTTTATGTGTGGCTTTTACATCATAGCTTTCATTACGAAGATTAGCTTGTGGTCAGTTTTTGAGCACCTGCTGGCTCTGTGAGATATTGTAGATGGCTGAATGAAGTTTCCTAATCATGTAAACAAGGTGTTGGGCTTTTTAGAGAAAGAAATGAGCACATGAACAGGAAAAAAAGAGGCACAAACACTGTATATTATGGGTCAATCATTTTTATTACACTAGTAAGTCACTTGACCATTTTTAATTTCTCAGATCGCTTGTCGATACAGTTACACAACAGAGAATATTTTGCCAAATTAGAATATCTGTCTGCTTATTTGTGGAGCATGTCTTTGGTTAAAGGTCTGAATGAAAATTAAGAACTAGCTCTTTTAATGATGCTATCAACATCCCTACAATCAGTACAGTATAAGTGAAATCAGACAGAATCGATATCTAACATTTAGCAACCTGTACACAAATGGAGTAATTTGGTTCTACTTGTGCTTTAGTGCCACTCCTCATCAATTAGGCAGAGGCCATTTGTCTATCTATAGTTCACATTTCTGAATGTTATAAACTTGTCAGTGTTTTCTCATACAAGCTTCTAAAATCAGATTATAGGTGAAAAGCATGACCCTTGATCCAACCGATTATTACATATAAATAAAATATACAGAATAATTACATCCAAAACACAGCATTGTAAAAGGCAATAATGCAGCAATTACAATCTCAATAACATTGTGTATATTTCATTGGGAAGTAAGGGGACAGACCGACAAAAAAAAAAAAAAAAAAAAATCAAGAATCCGACAGAGGACATACATACAAATGTGAGTTAACTACAGTTTACACCATTCTAAGTCTGCTAAATGCTGGTAGGAAACCTTCAGTGGTTTGGGAAACACAGGCAAGCTTATTCTCATCTATGGTTTCAGTAGTATCATTACAAGATCAATTGACTTAAACTGTGAACATACAACGTTTTCATTCACTAACGTAGCTGTACAAATTATACAAGGGTTATGACTTCTCTTCACCTGTCATAACGTAACCGCAACCAGCAATTAAACCTGCCTGATGAGGAAAACAGAAGATTAAAGGTAAATCAAAACTATGACAGTCAAAGTCTTTTGCTCAATGAAAAGTCCACACAGTTATATATAAATTAATTTTCCTCTAAATGAACAAACACAGGTTATTAAAGAAAACCAGTACATAAAATATGAACTAATTTTGGTTTGGGTTATCCCTGTACTATGGCATATAATTAAAAACAAAAGCTTGATCAAAAGGCAACATCCCACAATGTGACCTTTCCTAAGATGTTCTGACAGAATAAAGTGGCTGAAAGAAATCAATCTGACACACTAAACAGTTAACAATCAGCCAAAAAAAAAAAAAAAAAAAGGGACAGTCCCTTTTTTACTTACCTATATAGGGTACTATGTTGATCATAAATATGACGAACTACAATGAGTCATTCAGGGAAAAGCTATTTATGATGAGAGTAACTTAAACATAGCATCTCCAGAGTACTAACATTCAGTGTTGTTGAGTCCAACGATGTCAAACTGGCAGATTTAAGACATACAGTATGCTTTACTACTATCATGCCTGAATGGCCTGTTTTTAGGTCTTACTACACACACTGACAATACACATTACTATAGCGGTGGCTTCTTCACGCTCCGCTGTCCTCTACAGTACAATATGCCTACGCTTTAAGCTCCTCTGTTCTGATACACATCTGCCAAATGTGAAAATGAACAGGTTGCTATAGGAAGTGATGAGAGCGGTGTCAGGCATGTAGTCAGTCTGTTGTATGTGCTGAACCTCACTACTCCTATCAACATCTACTCGAGGAATTATGCGACACTGAAAAGAAGATGGAATCTCAACGTCTACCTTAAATACATTCAGAAAGAAGTTACTGTGTTGTTGTCTTGTGCTGGTTTTTACAACAGTCCGTTTTCAATCAGCCATGTATAGCACAATGTACTATTTTTATGTATTATTCCATTACATCAATGAAAATTAATCATAGAAATGTCTACATCTAGTTGTATGCTTTTCTTACGTTATTTACAGTGTCCATTTTGAACAGAGACATTTCTGACTTTTCAAAAAGCAATGACAGGAACAACACAAATAAATACAGCAGCATCATACACCAAGTTGTCATGCTTTCAATAAAACAATGGACTTCTTATTTTTCTGTTTTACAGTTGTTTAGGTAGCAGTACAAATGAAACAAACTCAGCCACCTACTAAATTAGCTAAATGGAATATTTGGTATATTTTTCCAAATAATTAATAATAATTTTGAGGGCAGATCCTCAGAAGTCAAAAAGTTGATGTGTTTTTGTACCACCAGCACACCGTTCTGTATCGACCAGTGTGGCCTTCTGTGTCATAAATGAAAGTCTAAATGTCTCATACATTCAAAGTAAACACCTCCACACTTAATGTCCATGTGTCTATTAGAGGTATTGTCCAATGTTACAAATGGCTTTGTAATTGCCCTTTTATCACCCAGTGGTATTAAAATTGAGAATATCACTATAATCTAACTAGGCTGTCACCCACACTCATCTACACAGATACATTATACCTAACTGTGGTACAAGCTGAACAAAGACACTACTACTACTACTACTGAAAAATAAATATTATAAAGCATTACGCACCGTTTGACTTCAGTTTCTAGTGAGGAGCAATAGATCAAGTCATGCCACTGGGACAGTTTTCCTGTCTGTGAAGTGAATGTTTTCAGGATTATGAAATGCTGTGGCACTACTAATGGAAAATACAATCCCCAGAGTCAAATCCAGAAGAGTATAAGATTACAATAGATGATTCTGAATCATACTATCTCATTATTCACAATCTGGTAATGTTGATAGGTCATTGTTGGTCATTTACAATGGGTTTGGGAGGTACTTATTCAGTTACTTTATGTTTGCAACACATCATAAATCTGTCAAAGTGAATGTAAGGACACCACTGTAAGGAGGAAAGGGGAGACAAAACAGATGATCAGGCATGACTTGTTGGCAGCCCCAGTACTTCAGTTCATCTGTTCAAAGAATTTGTAGGTGGGGTTTTCATAGCCATGGTTTTGCATTTTGTTGAGCTGTCGCTCTTCTGGTGTCAGCATGGGGTCGACCTGCTAAGAGACACACAAGGGCTGGAATCAGAATGGACTAATTACAGATTCACAAGCAAAGTGAATAGTGACTGGTAGATGGAAATTGGAGAGCAGGATGTCAGGATGTCAAGTAAGTGTTTCTCAATATACCAAACTATTCCTTTAAAATAAAGAGTTACACCAGTGGTTTTTACGTTTTAGCACATACAGAGTTAATATACTTCATAACTTTGTTGACAATGAAGCAAACCAAAAGTCTTTGGACTAAAAACTACACTGACCAGCCACTTTATTAGGTACACGTGTACAATTATATGCAATTCAATGCAACACTTAACATTAGCCCATTTGTGTTTATGAAGCTCAAAATATTTGAGTTTTTGTTGAAATTGTCATAAATATATAAATTCAATTATATGTTTATTATTGAGGTCATAGTTAAAGGTGGTGTTGTACTGACATTGTATTCAGAGGTGTTCCTAATATTCTGACCCTCTCATGCACAGTATGTAACTTATGAGGACAAAATGTCTCCAAATTTGACACAAAAGTCCAATTGAACTCAAGAATGAGCTGATTAGAGTTTGGTGGACATAGCTCAAAGTCAGTCACCTCACTTCTGTCCCATACCTGTGAATTTGACTGGTTGGCGAAGGCAAACAACCACAAAGTGGTAAATCTGGTTTAGTTAAACTTTTAAGTCAAAGACCACATGTGTGCTTCTGTCAAACTTTTCATCTTAAATGAAAGGCCTCTCTGGGGTCGTACCTCTACAATGCCATGACTGATAGTGCCATATGGCTTCCTGCGCACCAACAGCAGGCTGATTACCATCACCATGGCAATCGCTACTGCCACCACCAGCAACCCCACCATGGCACCACGGTTAAAGGTCTCCAAGGCATCAGGTTGCTATGGAAAGAAACACAAGGGAGACATGTAAAGATCTAATTAAATAGTTAATGTTTTATTTGAATTTATGCCAATTTCTTCAAGCAAACACACATTTTTAACACAAGTATAATGATGCTTATACTTAACCCTTACCAGCTCAGCTCTCGCAATCTCAGGAGACTTGTTGACTACCTGCTTGAGCTCCCCAGAGATGTTGATCTAAAAGAAGAGAGAAAGTGTTGGAATAAAAGGAATTACTAGACCACTGAAACACTGAAAAAGAAACTGTAATACACAAAGCACATATTTCTATGTCTACTCAGGGATGTAATCTATTTGAAATATCAGCCTTTTAGAAAAACTAATCTTCATCTTACCTTTTCCTCATATTCATAAGTAGGGCCTTTTTCAGATGTGGTATAATCATATTCATCGACTGCAGATGCTTAAAATGGAGACAAGGTAATAGCACATTTAACTGTGAGGAAAAGTAAGAAATGCATAGAGTAAAAATAAATGCTTTAATGACACTGAATACCTGCTCACCTTTCTTATTAGACTGCGGTTCTTTCATGAAAAGCAGAGGGAAAAGGTATTATTAACAACAGCAGCCTGTGAGAAGTAGTTTGTCATTTCACAAGCCACTTACACAATTAGGACAAACTTAAGAATACTGACTTTGTGGGTGTTTGTATGAGTAATATGTGCATATCTACCAATGCGAGGAGGATAAGGCCTGTTCTGGAAGGCTCTCTCCTCTTCCTCCTCATCATCCTTCTCCTCCTCACTCTCAGCTGGTAGGAGCTCCTCAGTGGTGCGTGTCTCCGAGAAAGAGGTGGTCATGAGCTCACTGATATCTCCCCGTTCTGCTTTGACCAGCTCCTCTACAGGTGATGAAGAAAGAAAGAAATACATAAGTCATCAATAGGTATATGTGAAACTGACAAAATTATTAGCAGCAGTAGTTTTACTTACGGATATCATTGTGCAGCTCCTCAGCCAAGATGGGATCCTTGTACAGCAGAGCAAGACTCTGGTTCATCCTCTCCTCAATCACATGGAGATGTGTGTACACCTGTAAAATATACAGAAACATTCTACTTAGTTTTTTTTTAGTCGTAATGAGTCTGTTTCTTGAACTGCTCTTAGCCATTGACTGTGTGTCGTATGTGTTACTGCAGCTGCGTTTGATGTCAGCAAACACTGGCTCTGATCTTAGTTTTATGCAAAGACATTTGGTAAGTTTCACCTCTGTGAGTTCAGTATTTAATCTCTTATCTGTGACACATACTAACCGGTATTTTTATGGTCAGCAAAAAGGAGCCTTGCATCACAGCTGTGTGAGAAAGGTATTTCTGAAGCAGTCACGTCACATGCTCTCAGACACAAACCTGAAATTTCATCTGCTCAGCCTTTTGGGGATCGACAGCCACAATGTGCTGGTAATGCCTGAGTGTGTGTCTGCGGTCCTTTTGCTCTGCAGCCATGTAACGCTTCAGAGCCCCCAACACACGCTCCGGCTGCAGGACAATAGTGAAGAGAGGATAGAGTCAGGAAATTACAGAGATTGAGATAAAGGTGCTGCAGGCTACTGAGTAAGAATCAATAGCAGATCTGTTTTCATTTATGTATACAGTATATATCATCTGTGGACTCTGTGATAGACTTACATGAGGGGGTTCAGACTGCACAGCAGTCAGGTAGTTCTCCAGGGCCAGACGACGGTTGTTGTTAAGAATGGCCTCAACTCTAGCAAGATGAGTCTCCACAAGCCTCTGCCTCTCTCCAGCAACCTGCTCCTCCAGCGTCTGCAGTACAGACTGGAAGTGCTAGTACAGAAAAGAAACGAGAGTGGATACAGGGATGAGTAAAGCGAAGATTTAGTCCCGTACTCTGTAACATTTCCACAGGAGGAATTTAAAATATTGAATTAATTTGATAAAGGAGGTTGGCAAAGTCGACTTACCTCATTCAGGGCCTGTCGCTCTGATTTGGGCAGGTTTTTTGACTGGTTGTCTGCCTCTGCCCACTCCTTCATGATCTGAGGAATGGAAATTCACAAAATCACTGTATCATTATAAAAGTATCACACACACTAGAAAGCACTATAATCTGTAAAACCATGCAACGTACCTACTATTAACTAGTGTCACAGATGCACAGTTTGGTTTGAAAGACATTTCACTTTGACTTTAAAAAATAGAAAATATACTTTTTGAAAATCATCTCAGGGCACTTTACATAGTAAGGTCTAGACCTTACTATTATTAAAAATATCAATGCCAATGTCAAGTCAGTCAAATAAAAACAGCTAGCCTGGCTCTGTCCATCTACCAGCACTTTTAAAGCTTAAAACGCTATAGCTTGTTTGCTTAATCCATAAAAAAAAATCAAAGTACCTACAACTACAAGTCATGATTTTATAGAACGGTTGATTTGTGTGTACTGTTTTTGTACTGGGTTAATTAGTTAGCTTTGGCCAGAGCAAGGCAAACTGTTTTTACTTGTTCCCGGTCTTCAGGCTAAGCTACGCTAGCCAGCTGCTGGTGGTAGCAGCTTGCTGGTATTTACAGTAATGGACACATATATGGAAGAGTTCTATCACTCTTCTCATTGAACCCTCAGAAAGATAGAAACTAAGTGTAAAATTATGAAATGTCAATAAAAAGCAAAGCATGTTGGCAGGTATGAGGAATGTTTTGTGTTTAAAAAATGCAGACATTGTAGTCTGGTGTACTGAACAGTTGCTTTTTTTAAATTTATTTAATAGCCAGTTTTGGAGGCACATTAAATGCATAAATGATAAAAGCATTATATTTGTGGTGTGCGATACCACAGCCAAAACTCAAATCAGAACTAAAATCATGAAGCTGTACAGCAGCTGCCTTGAGATGTGAGCAAGGATAAACAGCCATGCCTACACAAATGCAAGCATAGTCTGGTGTGCAACTCTGAAACTCTGTCTCTACAACTACAAGGAAGTTCGTTAGTTTACTGATAACTTGAACGTGGGGCAATATACAGTATATGCTGTATATATATGTATATGTGGTGCCTATTATAGAAATGTTATGGATTTTTTAAATCTTTTTATGTATCTGCCTCCTGAGATACAGGTGAAGCCTGTACAGGCCAGTGCTCCTGTCATTCTGATAACTAGATTAGGGACCGAGAGCAACAGAACAGCAAGTCGCATCCCATATTAATGAACTGCCTGTAAAACGTCTGACCTGCCAGCCAACAAACTATTAGCCTGTTCTTAGCCCTGTGAAATCCACCTCATTGATGCGCTTCATTCTGCGCTCCTCCAGGTCTGTTTTGGCACGCAGGAAGTTGGCATGCTCAGTGTCATCCACTGGCTTCTCAAAGTAAACATCAACACCATCTGTAGGCCGAGGCGTAGTCACTAGATGGGAAAGACAGAAAGCAGTTATTAGTGTCACACAGGCAGCAAGAGCCAGAGAGCAATTATCGTGTAATTGAAAGGACAGCCCTGGTCAAAATATGACAGGATGTGCACTGAGAGAGTTGCAAGAAAAAGGGAAGGCAATTTTATGCTACAGTTAGAACAATGAGAACAGTTCAGCAAGCAACAATGGAAAATTACTTTTGCTTTGGGAAAAATAAGAAGATTATCATTAAAAAAGGAACTGGCATTACCAGAACCATTCTGATTTGATATATTGTATCCTGGTAAGAGGACATACTGTTTCTGAAAATAAGTGCAAATACAACAACTCTTTGTAGGACCTGGATTCAGTTCCAGTGGTTTAGGATTTGTTAAGTTACAGTATCATATTTTATGATGTGTGTGACACCATTATGTAAACTGGATTAGTTACAGAGCATAAATTCCATTTGATTATTTTAAATTAAATGTTATTATGTATCTAAAACAGAGTTACATTAGTGGGTGTGGCATTGTCCGTGGTCATTTAGTTCTTTGGTCGTGTTGTTAGGCACTTAATGTTTTATTATGATACCAAACAGTGGAAGGATTAACAAAACTAATAAAGGACACCCACAGCTGTCCCCTTTCATCAGAGGTGCTGAGGTGGTGGGTTTGTGGCTTTTCTCGTAGTAGAAGGTGTCCAGATAGTCGGATGTCTGGTAGGGTCCGGAGTCAATAGGGTAGTCATACTCCTCTGGATCTTTCACAGCTATTGCCTCCTCTTCCTCCTCTTCTTCTGCTTCCTCCTCATCAACTTCCTCCTCCTCCTCTTCTTCCTCTTCTTCTTCTACTACTTCATCATCCTCCTCTTCCATATCAGCCTCATCCACATCTGTGTCAGTAGAAGGGCTTGGAGTGGGGGCAGTCACTTTTGTACTGTGGAAAAGTGCAAAAGTCATTCATCTGACTTCTAACCCACAACATGTATATGTGGTCAAGCTGAATGTCTTAGCGTCTTACACAGAACTGAGTTTGCCACTGGTCTGGGATGTGAATGCCTGAGTACCGGTGGGGACATCCTTCTCCTCCACCTCCCCTTTACCACCAGAGCTCCCTCGGCCTGGGCAGCACACATACTCGACTCCCCGGAAATTGTCTCCACATGGCAACAGCATCCCATAACTATGGAGCTCCAGATTATCTGCAGTGCATTCCTGATATGGGCCAATCAGATCCACAAAATTAAAAGCAGCATGTGTAGCAAGGTCAAAATTAATATTTTAAATTTAAAAGCTATCACTGTTTAAGTTAAATACTGTAAATTTTAAAGATAACAAGATTGAACTTTGGGTTTCCTCTGGCTGAGTATAAAAAGTTGCTATATGAGTGTTAAAGCTTGAACTCCCACACCTTTCTAACTTTAAAATTAACACTGAAATAGTGTGATGTGCAATACAACACAACACTGTGTAGACTTGTCTAGTCTAGTCACCTATTGCTGTTAGGGTGTACTGTACAAAAAAAAAAAAAAAAAAAAAATTTTGGCACTGGAAAGTTGACTGTGTACATGCACCAGTGGAAAGTCAAATAAAAACCACCCTCTTGCTTTACTGAGGCTGACAACTATTTTTTTATTCATTCAGAGGGCTGGAAATAATACTGCCATTTTTCTGCCCTTCTTACCTCCTTAACAATGTTGTGCCAGTATATGTAACTCTCACAAGCATCCATCTGCTCCTGGTGGAGGAAACGGCATCTGTCAGGCACCAGCAGGGCCTCACTCACATATTCGCCCTCTGTGAATAAGATGAGATCACTGTAATTCAAGCAGTGGAAGTATTTTAAGTGTTAAACTTCAGAGAAGATGTTAAACACGATTGTGCTTTAATAACATACACATGAATACATGAAACTGAGCTGTGGTGGGGAACCAGTACAGTTAGAGCCCCATCTCACTGTTCAGGGTATATAAATTGGGACTGTCAGCAAGCACAGATACTGTATGCAATGTGTAAGTCATATGCATGAGCTAAAAATGTGCTTGGCTAAAAATGAATTTAAAGCCTTTATTACAGAGATCCTAAAGGAACAACGGCTACTTTGTTTTGTACAATAAACCATAGATAAATGAAGAACAGGTTTTATAGTCTTTGTTTTATATTCATTTAAAATGGTTCCTCATACAGCCATATTATTATGTGCTTGGGATTCATACAAAGATGCCCGTACAAGAGGCAGTACATTAGACATCAAACAAGCTAGAACAACTCGACAGTGCTGTGCATAGGAATTAAAATGCTTCATGACTCCAGAATGAGTCACTTCATTATTCATTCATTCATTCATTCATTCATTCACTCACTCATTTATTGTAAGCCTCTCTGCCCCCTAGTGGAATACTACAGGCATGGCCTCTCTGCAATACTGTCAAGCTGTACATGGCGCTTTACATTTATTTAACGGCATATCTTGATTTAGAGAGAAAGCTGTGGCACTGTGAGAGAGATATAAAGGGAGTTTTAGTACTTGGAAACAATGTAAAGCCATGTGTGGTACTAAAAGAAAATCTAAATTTGTGCTTAGCTTGTTTGCTTATGCATTATTTGCACAGACAGGACATTCATGGTTTGTGCCACCCTTTATTTTATACAATATATGTAACTGTTTAGTGTTGATGTTTCATACGAGTCCCTTTAAAACACAAAAAGCCCATGATGTATTAGAAATAAATCTTCAGCACCTCAAAAGGATATGTTATTGGCTGCCATAAAACTGACCCTACTGTTAGGGAAGGACCAAAATATTTATGGTGGTCAATTTTATATGTTTGGCAATAACCTTTCAAAAATAAATGTGTGCCCCTAGTCTATTCTCTCTTTGACAATAAAGCAATTAAAGAAATTGTTTCACATCTTGAGAAATAGACTTACTGGATTTGTTGAGTGCTAGTTAAGAAGACTGATACCACTAAACAAGTAAACAAGTTACAACTTAGAAGTACTTTCTCCAGAAGAGCACATAGAAACTCAAAATAAATATTTTTGTAATTATCCAATGGCAGTGATGTGTTCTTACCTAAGCAGCGGTAGGGCAGGACAATGAAGGGGTGTGTCTGGCAGTGGCCCCAACCTTTCTTACACCAGGCAGGTATGGTGACGGGTCTTTTTGACTCCTCAATATGGGAGATTGAAAGTGCTGGGTACATCTGGACATACACATGCAAAGACAGACACACAGAAACAGAGCAGAGGGTTTGAAGACAAAAAGAGGAGCAGTGGATGGGGAAGAGTTGGGCAGATAAAGTTTAGGGGATTGTTTGGGAGGGGTAGAATAAAAGCAGCAGGATACAGAATAAGAGAAGGGACAACAGTCAATGGGGAAGATACAGTACTAACAAGGCAAAAAATCAAGCAGCATATTCTTTAACTACAGTACTTCTATGTAGCTGTGTATGGCTTTTGTCTGAAGCCACGTTAGGCACTGCATACTAAAATTACTTCACTGAACATTATTATCTTTCAGTATTTTCAGAATTTCCACATTTCACCTCTAACTACTTTCATTTAAAATCTACACCAATGATTAAGGCACAAACACATATTGAGGTTTAATAGTGATGGAAATGTAGCAGGTTCAGAGCCTGAATGCACCCTAAAATGGTTTCTCCACAAACACCATGAAAAAAAACAGAAGGCTTTTGTGTAAAAGCCATCAAAGAAGCATAATGCTCCCACTAATCACATTACAGTCCATTCAGGCTTCTGGCTGCTACTCTCGGAAGCAGCTGTCTACTTTGGCCTCTAGATGGCACTTGGTTGCCTTTAGTGCTGAAGCAAGAAAGTGTGGAGAGTACATGTGCCACTACAGAAAATGTGTTGTTGGACATTCTGGTCACTTTTACTGTATGTTATTGCCCTAGCAAGGGAGAGGACCCTACCTCCTGACAGTAGGACAGGATTTTGCTGGGCTCTTTGAAGCAGCCCTGGCGGCCCTGAGGATCTGGCTCCCACTGGCCAGTCTGTAGGTTCATGTGCAGGAGCTGACGGCCACAGAACATGGCGATCTGCGGCTCTGCCACCTCGGGGCCTGGCCCATTCGCCTCAGCCATGGCCAGCGCCTAAAGAGCATTGTGAGAAGAATGATGAGAGGTGAAGAGGAGTCAGTATAAACAAAGGGCAGATAATGTTATGTTTGAAGCTGAACCAGGGTGGATAAAGCACAGATAATTCCTAAATGCACTCCAACACTATAGACCAAAAGCGCAAGCCAGGGTGCAAAACTAAATGTGAGTGAAAGATCGAAACAGAAGCGAGAATACGGGGGAGGGAAGTTAAAGCTAATGTACAGAGGAATCGAGTGCACACTGCAACCTTTAAGAGAATACTGGCAATACTAAAAAACAGGAAAGATCAACATAACACTCCCTGTTGAAGTAACTCAATAAAAAAGATCAATAAAAAATGTGACTTATTGCCTGGTAGCCTATGCTCCCAGTTTGATGACAGTACTGACAGCTGCCAAAAGATAAAGAGGAAGGTGTATAGCAAAAATATATGAGTATGCAAAAGATTGTTTCCTCCTTCCCCCTTCCTTGCTCTCCTCCAGCAGCCTTCTAGGATGTTATTATTGATTGAGGGATATGTTGCCTCTGCCTGGGGAAGGGCTCAGGGGACACTACATAGGGGAACAAACAGCAGCTAAGGTTGGGAGTCAGGTGTTAATACAAGCTCATTGACCAGTGGGCCACTTCACTACATTAACACACAGCACAGACATAGAGAAGAAGAGGGATAAAAGAAGGGACAGGTTACCCAGGAAAGAAAAAGCTTTATAAACAGCACAAAAAAGGGCTTCATCTAACT